GGGCCCCATCTTTCATATTCAGGGAAGATTATAGGCATTTCTGCTAGAATTCTCTTTAAACAAAATAAATGCTGAAGTTCATTTAATTCTTAGTGTTCTGTAGGCTGTCTGCAATATATCCACAGATGCTTTAAACATTTTTTTTCAAATTTTAAGTAGAGTTTTACACACACGGAGAGTCTTAGAAATTATGACTGTATGCATTGCATGCTGGAGCTTTGAGTCTTCTAAGATTAGATTTCATATTTGAGCTTTCCCAAAACTATATTGCCCCAAAGCTGATCAGAGTCATGTATGATACAAGCCGATATGTCAAAAGCATTTATCTGCTTTGTGAGAACTAATTAAATGGAGTATCTTTGCTATGAAGAACAAGAAATTTATTTACGTGCTAATGGCAACTTCACTATTTGTACATTTTTAACTGTTACTATTTTGGGGACTTTAACAGGCACGATTAAGGAATAGTGGTGTCTGGTATTGCAACAGTATTTGAGGTTGAGCAGCTTACACAAAAAAAAAGAGTTTGTTTTTTAAAACACATTTAAAATGAACAAAGCTAATGTGGATAATTTAAAATTACTTTTGTGTAACTTTGAGGGTAATATGAGGTTGGGTTTCTTAAAAAAAAAAACATATCACCTTCAGTCATATTAGTCTAACTTACGAGAGTTTAATTTCAAAAACAGTCACTGCAGGTATTAATCTTCCTTACAAATTGGCTTTGAAACAGTTTATTCAGTAGTCTCTGCGGGGTGATAGTAATGCTGAAAAGCTGTAGGTGGAGACCTGAACACACAGTAAATCTTGCAGAGTTCATCATGTCCTACAGTACCCAAGTTTAGTGTATTTGAAATGTTTTGGCAGCGTGCATCAGAATGTAACGTTAGCACTTTGCAAACCTCTCCCACCCCAAATTCAATATGTACTGTATTAAAAACTGAGAATTGTATGTTGTGTACTGAAAGTAAGTCTTCAGCAGCTACTCTGTGCATGGCAGGGAAGGAGGAGAATGTTTCTAGGTATTTTACAAAGTATGTGCAAATTGAGATTAGTTAACAGAAAGAAAATCCCATCAGTATTTGTTGCTACAAGACCCGTTTGCTGTGTTATCTGCATCATAATTTCTGGATTGACTGACACAGATCAGTAATATTTTCATTTTTCTCTTGAAAACTCTTTTGACAGAGGGCAACAAAGTGTAAGGCTGGAGCTCTAGTTGGCAACTTAATCTGCACAGGGAAGCCTTCCAAACAGCCAGATAGATGTTGAGATTCCAGTTTGTTCCTTTGATCCCAGAGACAAAAAATTCACTAACACATTATGTGGGAATTGGATAATAATACTTAGTAAAGCAAGTGTCAGCAAAATTACATTTCTCTACGTTTTCTTTTAGCATACTCTTGATACAGTAATGAGATGGTGAATGAGCTATTGGAAAAAATTATTTGTGTCAACAGATTAACGTAGTGCATATTTGAAGACATTAGGAATATACATAAACAGCTGCCATTCTGTTTTGATTTGCTTCCAATGCTTACATTTTTGTACAACATAATATACAGTAGAAAAAAGAATTTAATTTTAGTCTTAATTTTCTTCTAGAATAATGTATTTTCTGGTAGTGGAATGACAAGGAGGAACACTTACGTTTGTGAGCGTTCTTCAGATCGCTATTCTGCAATACAGAATGGAAAGGACAACAGGTATTCTCCAACTTTTCTTGCTTATTAATTTGGGTACAAGAACTGAGGCATAGAAGCAGCAGGTTATGCAATTAATCAATACCATTATGAAGCATAACATGAAGTCCAACTGCCTGTTTTCATCTCTTCTTCCACCACAGTTTCTGTGTTTGTGATGAAATTTGTGACTAAATGTTTAGATCTGCCTTTGCCTCTTTTTATGGAATCACATTTATTACTGAGGGTTTACTTGTTCCTCAAAGTAACTAGGCTCACAACTAAGTAGGCAATTCGGCTGTGGAGGCTTCAGATGGATCACCCTAACATGTAGCCTGATCCTTTTTCATTTCTCTTAGTAATCACTCAAAGTTGAAATTGTTAAGACTTGTCCATCCTTTTTGGTATCGCTTTTTGACCTAAATGATATTTTAGTCGTAACGGTAACCAGTTTGTATCAGTATGTGGGATGATAATTGCACTCAGTTTAGTGTGTTTTGTTAAATGCCGTTGTATTTGACACTGCGACAATTACTGTTTTCAAAAATATGTTCTTTGTTTATCCTTGGTGCTAGTTAACCCTACTGAAAAATAAAACATTGACTTTAATGGAGAGTAATAAAAACTGGAGGTTTTTAGTTTAAAGCAATAGATATTACTCTTAATTAAACTATTTAAATAAAACTGTTAAGGTAAAATTAACAAAAAAATCCCTAGCATGAAATAACATTGTCTAGTAAACTGGTTTGGTTTTGTTTTCTGTCTTAGTGTTTGCATTTTTTAGTTATGCATTTAATTTTGGAAATAGGAAAAGTATAGGGCTATTGATCTATAGTAAAATAATGAGCTATGGAACATGTAAAGTACAGCCATTTCAAATGCTTTAAGGAGGTATGTTAAAAAGCAGAAAGCTAATATTCAGTATTTAATTAATATCAAATTATTAGATGGGTGCTTTCAAAAGTGTCTTTCTAAATTTTTGTGTAGAGTTTAAAACATTTGAACAAAGTTTGTAACAATCCTTTTTTAAAAAGAAAGAAGATAACAGACCTTTTTTAGATTTAGGGTTAAAAGATAGACTAAAAGATTTTTTTCTAATTTCACAAAGATGGATAAAGTTTTTCTTTCAATAGATTCAGTACCAAAAACACTATAATGAGAAGGAATTGTATTTCAATATTTCATTTCACAGTTTATAGTTAATTGTTTTTCTATAGCATTGGAAAGACAGATGACTTTTAATCCCTTTGTCTTTCATGAGGGCAATGAATATGCTCAGCTCTTTGAGTATATTCTGAAAAATGATGGAGAAGAATTTTCTTTTGAGTTCATATGCTCGGCTTTCTTACAATACCTTGTGTTGCAGTTGAGTTTGGATTTGGTGTAGCTGAGCATCTTGTGTCATCAGATTATTCATCCAAAATCTTTACCTCTTTGCTACAGATACTATTTAGCTTTGGGACTGTCATAGCTAATACATTGTTAATGCAGTTTCATTTGTGCTTGTAGAAGCAAAGCTGTAGTTTGGCTTAAGTCATTTGACTTTTGTTTTAAAAAATTAATAACACAGTAGTTTTGCTGCTACTTCCATCTCTTCCTTGCCACTTAGGTGAAGCAGAAATAAAAGTACCAGTAGAGGGAACTGTGTTTTGAAAGGGTTGGCTCAGCCTAGCAGTGACTGGGATAGCCCAGGTCCTTTAAAAACAGAGTCACTTCTAACTGATAATGTGACAGCAGTTCCAAGTGTTTCAAGTTTTAGGTGTTTGAGTTTTAACTGAAAATAAAGGTATTCACTTCACAAAAGGAGAGTTTATTTCAATCAATCTGTTTGTCTTTTGCAAATTTCTTTTTCAGTATTTTTTACTATTGCCATGTATTCTTTGTAGTCTTTCTTCATTACTTTAAAGCTTACACACACATTATTCAATCTTGGGAGGAATGAAAAGGACTGATTTAACATTTATGGTGATTTGGTTTATGAATGGACATAATTTTCTCAGAATTCTGTAATCTCTACTTTAGCTGACTAAGGCAGTCTGGTCACTCAGACTTCTGGTTATTTAAACAGCACTTGCTATGTTCTGAAAGAAAAAATGAGTTGTTATTTTCCCTGTTTTCTGTGGGATTTTACACTAACCTTTCTTTTCCCTTTTCATTTGTCCATCCCTCCGCCTTGCTGCCATGGTAAAAGCCTAACAGAAATGTCTGCGAGTAGCACATCATCTGCAGGCTCTGCAGTAGCTTCTACTGTATCGACACGGCCTCGACATCAAAAGTCTATGTCTGCCTCTGGTCATCCTATAAAAGTTACACTGCCAACCATCAAAGATGGCACTGAAGCTTACCGACCAAGGTAATAAATTGATTGTCATTTCTTTAACGCTGTGCACTTTAAAAACATTGTTGTTCAGTTCCTGATATACTTCAGTACTCTTGCAATCTATTCAAAACGGTCATATCGTGTTCTGTTTCGCAACAGTAGCTCGCTCAAGTAGTGTGGGTATTACAGATGATTTAAGCTTGATTTTGTTCATCACGCATGTTTGCATACAGTTAAAGTTGTTCCTTGACTGCCTCCCTCTGGAAACTTCTGGAAAATTTAAGTAGTTAAAAAATTTAACTAATTTAGACAGGATGGTATAACACAGGCTACCATAAATTCAGATGAAATACTGAAATGTTAATCTCTTGGTTCTGTAGATTGCCAGGCTCATTTCTCTCTAAAAGCACCATAGTATAGTTGCTCCTACTATTAACTGCCAAGTAGCATTATATGTTTTATCTGTGCCAGATGATTACTTCCTAAGAAATATCTGTTAAGTTTTTGGAGTGCTTGTGTGTTAAAGGTTTATGATGAACATGTTTTTCCGGAAGAGGGCTGGGAGCACTTTCAGATCTTACTACAGACTTTTCTGCCTTTTTCCTTTGTCTTATTATCTGTGTATACTTTTTTAACTGCTCTTAACATTCGAGATAATTTGATTTTACAATGAAAATATCACTTGATTATTTCTAAGTATGAATCATAAAAGCAAATCAGTAGCAGATTCAGTTTTTAAAAAAAAAAAAAAAAATCAAGAGCGGGGTTTTTTTCCTGTCTTTGAGAAATGGTTGTCATGTAGGAGGGTTGCTAGCATAGTCTTTCTCTTTATTTATGCTTCTGTTTTCCCAGCAGTGCAACTCAAAGAGTGCCTGCTGCTTCCCCATCTGCTCATAGTATTAGCACTACCACTCCAGACCGAACCCGCTTTCCTCGGGGGAGTTCAAGTCGAAGCACTTTCCATGGTGAGCAGCTAAGGGAGCGGCGTAATGCCACTTACAATGGACCGCCCGCCTCACCATCACATGAAACCGGTGCTTTTGCACATGCTAGAAGAGGGACATCAACTGGTATAATAAGCAAGATAACTTCCAAGTTTGTTCGCAGGTTAGTACCTCGATTTTTAAGAGAAAAAAAAAAAAAAAGCCCAGCCTTATAACTAGGGCCATATTGCAAAGTCATTGAGAATTTCCAGTTTAAGTCTGAAGTAAATGTAAATTTAGTTAGAATGCTGCTTGTTTTGTGTGTTCCTTCCAGAATCTGCCTTGTTTTACTTCTCTGTGTATATTGTAACCATTATGTGTGACCAGCTGTTTTGCTACTTATCTTAAAGGAGCAAGAGAATGCCACTCAAAAGGGTTTTTTGCTCATGCTTTGCAGCTAAAATACAAAGATGCTACAATTAAGTTAAAATCAAATGAACTTAAGTACTGAAATCAGTGACTTAAAAACAAGTCATTTAATGTTAATATTTTACTTTTATAACTGGGTGCAGTTTATTGCAAGGGCTATATTTATAACCATTTTATTGCTGTGCTTAGAGGAACTAGGTATTAACAAATTATTTCAGGGACTTCTAAAATCTGTGAATAAATGAGAAGCTTAGAAGTGGGCAGAAGTCTGGATGTCTGGAAATACTAATATTTCAGTATCATGTAGCCTCTCATATCATGTTACCACCTTCTTCAAATCTAAGTTCAGGATTCTGAAAGAAGAAAACCCACGCATCCTGGAACTGCATTCATTCTTGTGATGATGCTAACAGTCATCATACTGTGAGGAAAGGTGCTTGGAAAGATTTTCAAATACACTTTAATATCAAGTGACTGTTGACTTAGCAGTCAACAATAGCTTTCCCAAAAGGGGACTTAATTTTCAGTTTGCGTCTTTCCAGCAGTGGTTTACGTATAATTCTTAAGCCTACTTATGGATGCGTCCCCATACAGCATTATTGCCAGTTTTGCAACAGAATTGTGTCTTGGAAGCCTCTATTTTCTTTGCAGAATCATGCTGTTATGTACTGAATTCTATAATTTGGGGGAGGGGGGCGGGGAGTCAAAGCTGAGTTAAGCTAGTAGTGACAAATTTGTAAGTAAAATATCGTTAACTGTGTAAGGTGATGTTACAAGAGAAGAGAGAAAGAAATCAAATGCAGTGATTCCTCATAAAATTGATTTAACCTAGTGAGCTGATAGTGTGTCAGTTTGTGTCTAAGTAATACCTCTTACGGTGATGTAAAAGAAAAAAGAAAAGTATGTGAATGATTTTCTTTTTTCAGAAACCTGAGGATACAGGACTATGATCCTCCATTATTGGTATCTCCAGCACATACATAGTTGAGGGGAA